TACACCATTGCTGCGAATCAAGTCGTAATAGCATGCACAATACGGAAATAAGAATTGTGCCAGCGAGATACTTTATATCCGTTCAGGTCACCTTTCCGGTTACGCCGAAGAGGGAATTCCCGATTCCTTGATCCATGACGCCATACATTATGTTATTTCCGGTCGATGTAGTCCTATAATAGGTTCATATCGTCTGCATTCAACGTTTTTTATCGGATATTTTCTTTTACTATTAATTCTGAACCACGAAGTGTTATCGGAAGTTGTAATTTTCTCGTAGCAAATTTTAAAACTAATAAACCACTGCAAAAACTAAAAAAACTAATAGCAATAACCTTAAAATGAATGTAAAAATCTCTTCCGCATTCATATTGCAAAATTATGTTCCTAACTCATCCCTTTTTATACGAAGTTGACAAACATTTTCCATCTGGCCATTTTACTTCAAAATATGTGCCAATTCCATATTTATAAGAATGTGCGAAGAAAACGAATGTGACGGTTATATTTAAAGTAGGTTTTGTTCAACAAAGGATGATTGCTTTTTGATCGCTTAACGTCCAGTGGCAAATAATTCATGCATGTTGAGGATGAGAACAGATTAAAATACATAGGGATGATACAATGGGTAGGTTCTGTAATAATGGTCAACTGGGATGCAGGTCGGGGGGGCTGCCACTGAAAAATGAGGGAACATTGAATAGGGACAGAAATTTTGCCTTGCAACAGCCCACCTTCGGACCCCTCAAAGAGTTGTTTCAGAGGTTCCTAACGTTCATAGAGCGTGGTATTCTCTCTACACGAGGAATAAAAATAACTTCCCGTTCTATCCAGACGTGTCTGCGTACTTATACATCCTGCACAGCCAAACGGGCACCTCCTTTGGCAAAGGCATTACTGCCGTCCGATAGAAGACCAAAGTGACCACTTTTCTATACAACATAGGAAAAACTCCGACATTGAAACATACACGTATACGCTGCATCAATAAAATGGTAAATGAAATCTTCGCAAAAAAATATCAGTTTATCCTGATCCATGAAATCAATTGCCACATCTGGTTAAGTTTTCAAGTGAGTTAATATTAACTGCTCGTCCCATTATAAAAGAAATGAATTATTTTTTGTTTAATCACCATTTGTTATATCAGAAAAGTGAAATATACAAAAAGGGTAATCAAACGACCACGTCAGTCAAAAACAAAACCTATCAAAGTCATGGCAAATTATAAAACAACGACACAAAGACGAACAACAGCCCACAAAACACAACATTGAAAAAACATAAGACTGAGCAAGACGAACCCCACAAACGTAAGGGGTATTATAAACTGTGATTTCAAAAATAGAAGCGACAATAAAATATTAAAATCAATCGGGTCCAGGACCAATCCAGTATATCTTATTATAATCCTTCGTAATTAATTCCATTTTCTATGTGCATACATTAAGAGTAATTTAGAGCTGATATACTCGGTGTATGATAAATATTTCATGTTATGGAATACATTTTTTAGCATTTATTTTTTATTTTTGAAGAAATTCACACTTGCGTGCTTGTAGTATAATTTTTGTGTATGTATTTGTAGAATAGAAATCCAGATCTGGTCTGTGTTTCTAATACTAAAAGAGGTGTTACGGTTATGATCATGTAGACCTAGGCCTGTCCTCATCAGCTATCCCTAGCCTATATGTTTCCTTTCTTGTAATATTTAGAATAGTTCGAATTTGATTTCATTTATGGGGGTACGACACCTGTTTATACGTTCGTTTCTTTCTGTTTTTTTGGTATTTTTTTCCCTTTTTATTTAAGCTCTTCTATTAGTTTATTGTGCGTGACATTTTTTTATCTCTTGTTTGATTTTATCTGTTTATATCATTTTTCATCTTTGAATTCGTTAAATACTCTTTTAGATTTTTATGTCTTTTGTATGCAAAACGTTTGCTCATTGCTTATAAATTTAATACACATAAATTTCAAACTGCCTTTTTTTTCTTTGTTATTTATCATATGTTTTGGGTATGTAGTCAAACATATACTCATCTTCAATTTCTGAAAATTTCAGGTCACTAGCTGTTGTTGTTTCAGAAATGTTGACCCCCCCCCCCCCCCCCCCCCCATTTCCTCTCACAAAATATCAAACTGCAATAACTCTAAAAAGTGTAAGTTAATCTGCAGATGAAGTTCAACAATATAAAAAAAATTTAGCTCATTAAAGGTACAATGAATAATAAAATATATGATGCAATACCGAACTTAAGAACAGGAAGTCGTAGAGACATGGGACTACAACCATTCAACTCAGGACCACTTGACCTTTCAAAAGGTCACAAGGTCAAGGTTATAGTAATTTTGAAGGTCGAGTTGAAATTTCAGAATAAAAAGACCAAATTGGCACCATCGATAGACCTCATCATGAAGTATTACCAGGTAACGCTGTAGGATTTCATCATCCCCTTTAGAAGTTATCTCTTTTTATTTATTTTTTTCACATAGCCTCCCCCTTCGTTGTTTTTGAAGATATCATGACCTTTTTTGGACAATAGGTATATCTCATTTTGAAGTATTACCAGATGAAACTGCGTAGGATTGCATCATTCTCTTTAAGAGTTATATCCCCTTGAAACACTTTCATTCGCATATATCTTAAAAATTGTTACAGATAGAATCGATCTGAAAATGGCAACATGTGCAGGGACAGATGGCAATGTTAATAAACATAAACAATTATTTTGTTATTAACCCTTATAAAAATTATTTCCCTTGAAATAGTATACACAACTTTATAAAAATTACATTTCGAGATCCGAAAGAACCTTCACCAATAATCTTTAGTTCATGCAACCTTTCATTTGCCCCCACGGACAAAGGTCATCGAGTGCAAACAAATTGTATGCTTAAATTTCAAGCTTGAATGTTAAGGAAACGATAAGAGATAGCTGTATACACTTAGCGTTTAACATGTTCTTCTCTTAGAGCTCTATATTTTATACCTAGACCTAAAACTGTCCGACCATCCGTTCAAAAATTACGACGAGATAATTCTTCAAATTATAGTTTTTTGTGTGTATTTTTGAAACGGTAACAGATATCAACCTACCATTAACTGCAAAAATTATCAATAGTTTAAGACTTTAATTTGGAGTCAATGTCAAGGTCATTAGGAAATTCGTCTTGACCTTCATAGGGTACTATATCCTTGACCTTGTAACCTTTTTAAAAGTCAAGTGGTCCAGTTCTCATGTTCGGTATTGTATCATATAAAATTATTTAATAATTCGTTGTGCCCTTAATGAGCTATTTTGTTAATTTACATTGTGGTACTTCATCTACACTTAGCAGATTTGAGATACATTGTATATATTGTCGTTTTAGAGATATTGTAGTTTGAAATTTTGTTGGTGGGGGCATATATTTCTGTATCAGCAAAAGCTAGCCACCTGAAACTTTTGGATATTGAAGAGTTTAACATGCCTAAATACCAAATCCATTTGACGAAAAACAAAGAAAAATTATCAGTTCGAAATTTTCATGTTTTATTTTGACTTTGTAAGTTTCAAAAGTTCTATTTATAAAATTGATATTGCATCATTTTTTGGACTTTGCAAAATGTCATGTGACATATCAAATTAAACATCTAAATGAGTTCTTTTCAAAAACGAAAATTTAAAACCACATTTATCATCCCAAACAAAGGGTGGGGTCATTGAGTGCAAAAATAAAACCTCCAAGATGGTAAGGTTGTCACACATAAAATGAAAGTCCATAAATTGTACATTTCAAATATCAAATTTATATCTCCAAAAAAAGGGTTAGGCGGGGTCTTTGAGTGCAAAACAAATGTCTTCGAAGGTACGATTGTCGCATAGCAAATGAAAGGCCATAGTGGGAACATTTGAAATATCAAATTCCTGTCCCTCAAAAATGAGTTGGAATGGGTTATTACATGTAAGTGCAAAAAAAAAAACTTCTTGAAATATGGTGTTGTCACATATCAAATGGAAGGACATCAAGTCTACATTATACCTATCATACTATCGATCTAAATAAATGAGAAACTAGTTACGCATGCTCTTCTTTTGAAAAATTTCATTCCACCGCACCCCTCTAATCAAAGACAAAGCAAACATGACGGTTCGCAGATCTGTTTTAAATTATGAGATACTTTTGGAAATTTTTCATCAATTTAAAACTCCAACTTTCCTAAATGGTCTTTGAAAATAAGAAAAATAATTAGATAGATTTCAAACATGGCCGTTTTGGATCTTTCAACACAATTGAAAGTATAACAGAATTGTGTATTAAAAAATATTTATTAAATAAACCTGAGAAATAAAGATTCCAAATAGATAAAGTATACAAAGGAAAACAAAAACGTCAGGGCATTACACATGTTGTCTGTTGTCTTTTTATTTTTGGCCATGGCGTTGTCAGTTTGTTTTCGATCTATGAGTTTGACTGTCCCTCTGGTATCTTTCGTCCCTCTTTTACAAAGAAGAGCAAATACCGTCTATGAAATATTTGCCTTAAGGAGTTGTAATCTTACCTTTAACATAGTTATAAAATATCGTGAACTTTAATTTATTAAAGGTCAGGGTAAAGAGACACCACTTGGATTCACAAAATGGAATCGTCTATTACAATTTTGTAACTTAAAAAATAAAACTAAAAGCATTTTAAAATTCACTCATTTTCGTTTTTCTGAGAGATAACACACTGAAAATATTTAGACGGAAACTATTGCATTGTATTCTACCTTGTAAAGTTTTATTGAAGCAATGGAAAATAAGTACAAGCTCAAACTGCCATGAATGTAATATTACAGAAGATTACGACCACATGTTTCTAACAAAAAGTCATGTAAAACATTAAAAGTATTTTGGGAAAAAATAAATGATATTTTAGAAAAAAAATTAAAGAACCTTAGTGAGCGCCCTCACATACCCCACGTCCTTATATTGTCATTGAAGAAATAAAATAAGTGTAAGAAAAAAAAATTGTATAAGAAAAAAAATTTTAATCATAATTTAATGTCAATGTGCAAATCTACATAGTATGTCCTTATTATCTACAAAGTTTCATGAAATTCTGTTGTGTGGTTTCAGAGGAGTTGTGATGACAAACTGTTGCAAAAGTACATTGAAGCAAATAAGTTAAAAGATTCGTAACACTAAGAAAAAAAAAAGAATCGTAATTTCCTGTCGATATGCACAACTACATAATATGTCCTTATTATCTAAAAAGGTTTCATGAAATTATGTTGTGTGGTTTCAGAGGAGTTGCGATGACAAACTGTTGCAGTAGTATATTAAAGCAAATAAGTTCAAAGGGGCTTAACTCCTGTAAAAAAAATTGAATCTTAATTTCCTGTCGATATGCACATCTACGTTGTATGTCCTTATTATCTGAAAAGGTTTCATGAAATTCTGTTGTGTGGTTTGAGAGGAGTTGCGATGACAAACTGTTGCAGTAGTTCATTAAAGTAAATAAGTTCAAAGGGGCGTAACTCCTAGAAAATAAATTGAATCGTAATTTCCTGTTGATATGCACAACTTCATAGTATGTCCTTATTATCAAAAAAGGTTTCGTGAAATTCTGTTGTGTGGTTTGAGAGAAGTTACGATGACAAGAAATAGGACTGACGTACTGACGGACTGACGGACTGACGGACTGACGGACGGACAGACGGACAGACAGACGGACAGACGGACGGGTCAAAAACATTATACCCTCCGCAACTCGTTGCGTGGGGTTTAATAAAATAGGAAATCACTTTCTAAGCTTATCAAATTTAGCATGTGGATAGAAAATTGAACAAGAAGAATAATACTATGAAGTAAATTACTTATTAACAATAATAATTACATACGCAATTTATAAGGCATACTATATCTCTGAACAAAGATCAAAACCTGTCAATACTTTTTGCATTTTCAAATTTAGATTTCAAGAAATTTTTGAAATAGAGTGTAAACGGCAGGATAAACTTAAGATTCTTTGCAGTGTTGCAAAAATTTTTAAGTGTTTTGTAAACTAGAATTAAGGTACATTCATGTTTATTTTTTTTATGTTTAGATTTATATAATAATAAAGTAATCATAATCATTTATAGAATGAAAGCGATATAATTATATTGTATAGGTGTGTAAACTAACATTTGTGTTTAGAGATATATATATATACATGTATACGTATGCATAGGCGAGTGTGTGTGTATTTTATTTTTTATGTGAACAAGGTCATGATGGTAGATGTACAAAAACAAATATCATGTAATGTTTAAAAAGAGTTTTCTCCTTTTATGCAATTAAAATCAAATCACTGAATTCTTGCAAATTGTGTCACGATGTTTTTATTATTGTCGAATTGAAACTAGTAAGGAACACGAGACGGTTTTTTAAATTAGAAGTATATCTTCTTATTATCAATTTTGAAGAAGTCAGACACGTTGAAATATTCACTTTCGTTTCATTGTCATTGAACGTTTAATTTAGAATAATATCAAAGATTGAATAGATATATATATAGACAAAACAATATTACATATTAAGTCATCCTAATCATAGTGGCAAACTAATTAGTAATACCTTGATAGAATATGATAGACAAATTTTTAAATCCAACGGAAAGTAACACGTGTAGTGTTTATAAGATTACAATTGATTTACAAGACCAGTCGTTTATTGCATTTTTTGCATTTATTAAACCATATCTGCAAATAGGTGTAAATTTTTAACTATTCAGACAAAACATTGATTGTTCTGTATAACTGTGAAAAGAAAACTAAATATTGAACAAATGATTGTAGGAATATCATCTTCTTGTCCTATCCATCTATCAATAAATATCTTAAGAACAACTATGTGTAATCGCTTTCAGTTTTAGTGAATAGAGTATGGATAATTACTTCGTAGTATAGTCATATTTCATTGAGCATGACAGATGTCCCTTTAAAACTTATTCTCAGTTTAGAATAGAAAAAAAATTAAGAAACAAGATTACATCGTGTTTGAAAAAAAAAGAATTGTTCCTGAAAAAGTAATTGTAATTCGTCATTTGTTGGGGGCATGGGTTTTACTTCACGAAACTAACATTTTTCAACTTAATCAAAAACAAACTTTTTTCAGTAATGCACACGAACAATCTTTTTAAACTAAATGTTGAATTTATCTTTTTCATAAATTTCAATTGATTTTCAAACGATCACATCCTATGATCTAATATATAAAATAAAAAAAAATGTTACATTGATTGATACATTTAAGTTCAAACAATATGGAATTATGTACATGTATTCTAAAATCCTGTTCTGTTTGACATGTTGGATGTACACACATAACGTCAATTTATCTCAAATCAGCTTTAAGTCGGTATGGCGATGGTGTCGTTGTTAACCCGGTGGTTATCCCTTCAAGTGATAAAATATCATCTGGATCGACTTTAGAGAATTCAAATCTATGTAGAAGGTTTGAAAAGACCAGAAACAACTGTGACCGTGCTAACGATTCTCCAGGGCAGATCCGTGGGCCTGTAATACAAAAACTAAATCAGTCAGTGAGTAAATGAAGTAAACACATTATAAATGTTATGTCTAAAGATATTTTTTTGCATTTACCTTCATCATGAATTCTAAAACCTAAACGAAAGTCGGGGATGCGTAAATAAACTGCAACGTTAAGAGCTATATGACCAAAAAAGTCTTAAACAGAATAGCCAAATTTATCCAAGGTTAACTTTGCCTGAGGGAGTTGAAACCTTAGTTTCTAAATAATTTATTAATATATGAACAGGGAATTTGAAATAAGCATATGCCATAAACCGTGTCTTTACCGAAGCACTAACTACGGAGCTGATGATACCATCTTGGACTCAAATTCTACCGGCAGCGGTATCGACTCAGTACTAATAAATAAAAATAAACAATTTATAATTTTAATTCGTGTGTCAAAAGTGCTTTTCTGGATTTACTTCATCATGAGCTCAAACCTTAACATATGACAGCCAGGGATGCGTTAATACACCGCAACATTAGGAGCTACATGATCAAAAAACGACTCAACAGAATAGACAAATGAACAATTACCATTCTCTGATACTTGCACTTGCAAAACAAAACTAAAATCATCATTGAATAACGATCTTAACAGCAAGTACGTATACGTAAAACAATACTACCAATGTCTTGCCCAAAGTAACTTTCGTTGCAGATGGCACAAAAACAAACACTCGTTAAAAAATGCATTTTTTTAAATTTCAATAGCACACAGACTTGCTTCCATTATTCTCGGAAAGAAATGTATATGTGTTTAAACTAATATTTGCTATTTCGTATACGCACCTAATGAAAAAGGTATCAAATATTCTTTGTTGATTATGCCATTGTTTTGATTTAGAAACCTCCCTGGATTAAACTCCTTCGGGTCTTTCCAGATTGTTTCATCAAAATGTGCAGAGATCAGGCTTGGAATAATAATGGTATGTTTAGGTATTTTGAAGCCATTGATTGTTGTATCACAAACTGCTACATGGGGAAGAGTAAAAATAGCTGTAAAATGATAATAGTAAACACATGTTACACAAACTTCAACGTGCACAACGGCAAAAATGGCTGTAAAAGAGGAAAGTCAATGTAGTAATGTTACATATTTAGCTGGTAGAGGTCATATAAAGTTTGTATTTACATTCTTAAAGTATTCCACTGCTTTCGAACAATGGATAACATACTTTTGAAATCAGGATGGTAAGTGAGAACAAGAGGTGTTTTGTTGGCTACATAATTCTTATCTTTGTAATCAGAAGTACTTTGCGGCCAATTCTGTTTACTTTTTCTAAAACTGAATGTATACTGTTGTTATAGTATCCTCGAGCAACAAGATGTTTACATAGTAATCACAAAAATATTTAGTTGTATGTAATATACGACTTAACTTCATGACAACTCTACGACTGACATTTCCCATCAGATACCAAAGTAACCACACATCCTCGAAAATGAAATGGTCATCATCCTCTTATGTTTATAAACAAGGTCTACACAGTCTATTAACGAAATATAATAACTAATTAAGTAAACGTTTTCTTCTGATGATCTCAAAATCTTTTATATATACTGGACTATCGCAAATATTGCTGATTTCAATTAGACTTCATTAAAACAATTTTAGGTGATGTTTCTGATTGTTTTGTTTTCTTGGGTTTCAGTTATCAACTAGGTTACATCCTGTTGATGGAAGCACATTCCAAATATTGTATCGTATCTTATTTCCTTGATAGCCCGATTTCTGGTTATTGTCATATGTTTTACTTTCCCAACATGGTTAAGATAATCACTAATGAGATGTTTGTGCGCACGAAAAACTTGCAAACTCCACCACATTTTGTGCCAGTATCAAGTCATGCTATATGGTCCCTTATGCTGTTCTTTCTAATTTGTATTTGTTTGTGCATCTGTTTTCTCGGAGTAGAAAATCACTTTAATGTATAACTACTATTACAGATAAACTAAGTCTGTAGACCAGTCTTTTCATTTACTAAAGATTCTGATGACTGGAACATGCTTTGCCTACCTGTATTTGACAGTCTTTGTATTTCCATTAAAGTAGCCTCGGTGTAGGACAAATAACGTCTATCAGATAATCGAACCGTTCTACCTGGTCCTATTACCTGAAAGTAAATACAGTTTAGTGAATTACTAATCACCTTAGTTATCAATTATTTCTCATTCTTCTAATTGGTATAAGAACATTTCACACTTAGCGAGCATCTGCGTAGACTAGATCTACCCACGGAATACTTATGTTAAGAGGAACGATTTACCCTTACCAAGCACCTTATTTAAAAGGACCTAATTACAATAAACGATCCTCTTAGCTAACAGAAACAGGAACTACATTCACTTACCCAGCGCTGGAGTTTACAGAAACAACTTATTCAAAGAGAGAACCGGAGTTATCAGGAACGCATAACCATACCGAGCACTGGAGTTAGCAGGACATAACTTCCATTACCGAGAATTATATATATTTTGGTGGAAATAGAATAAAGCAAAGTTCTTCGAATTAACAATTCTCAATTGGTCTTAAAATAGGGAAAAACCATGGAGCACTAAACAATCATAAGTTGAAGACAAAAGACAAAAGAAATACGACGTAAAGACAAACGCCATACTACAAAACAATACAAGGGAAAATTAAAATTCAGCAGAATGATCCAAATTAAAAAAACAAGGCTGTCCTGATGAATAAGCAGTTAAAGCTTAGCAAGTGACAACAGTCATGCGGCGCAAAACGAGAACAAATAAAGTGTAAAGCCTAAGGTAATGTAACGGGTTCATTCCTTTATACTAATGATAATTCAAATACATTTTTGTCAACTACTAGTATTTGTATATACTATGTATACTAAGCAAAACATTATTTATTTGAAACAATATGCTTGCCTTTCTAATTTCTTCTTGGCACCTCTTTTGTTCATCCGGGTACTGAATCATCCATAAGAATGACCAATCAAGCGTAGTTGCAGTCGTGTCTGTTCCAGCAGTAAACAAATCGATAATTGAGGTCAACAACGCCGCCGCTACAATTGTAAGATATTTATATAATACAAGATATTCTTAAAAATAAGAAAACTAGGGGTTCGTAAGTACTGGGACAACAAAAACGAAAGAAAAGATTCCATGTTACTGACTAAAATGTAAGGATATCTAAAAGATCCTAGTTGCTAACGAATGGGAAAGTTTAATGTTCTAAGATTTGGACTCGATGGAGATCTATGTTAATGGTAGAAGGGTGTAAGTTATTTGACTTGAAGGAGATCTATGTTAATGATAGAAGGGTGTAAGTTACTGTTTAAATGAAAAGCCAGGACTACGGTAGACACTAAGTTACTAAGAAAATACGAAAACGATAGGATTTAATTCGCTAACTTTAAGGAAATATTACAGAAAAGTCTTTATTACCGAGCAAATAAAATAGGAAAAGGCTCTTTTCAGTAACTATCAACTTAAAAACGGGACATTCTCGAAGAAAGGCAAAACCCCCATTTACGAGACTAGTTGTAGTTTTCAGTTACAATCGAAGTGGAAGATTTTCTTGTCACTTTTGACCCTCTAATACATATTAATATACATGTAGCTACACATACTTAAAGTCTTGGAATTGGGTACAATCAAGGATATTCCAGAAACAATTTCAAACATAAATAGTGGGTCTGTGACCAACACTGGTATATATACGAATCCTGATCGTCTTTTTATAACAAAAAAAAAATAGCATTTCGTCGGTGTGGAGAAATATTGTAACTCACTAGCAAGCGAGGGAAAATTTTTTTGGCCACTTTGTGATACACCCCGTGATTAGATTGAAACCACCACACAACACCTATTAACCGTTTCAGAGTCTAAACGATTGTGGATAATTTCCCTTTTCGATCCCCATAATGAAATAACGTCACGCCATTAGTAGAATTCCCACTGTTTAGGACGATGTAAGCCAATCACAACGTTTTAGTGTACACTTTTAAAAATATTACCAAGAATACATTACATTCAGAAAGGGTGAATTAGTTACCAATCACAGTACCGGTAGACAAAATATACATATATGGGTTTAAGCTATGTTGTTGGCCGTTGTAATTAAGCGTTATCTTTAAACTTACGATTCAAAACAGACGTCCGTTCACTCTCTTCTTTTTCGGCGACCAGATACATATCTATAAAGTCCCGAATGTTTTCTTGGTGAAATGACTCTCTGTGGTCGGTTATGTGTTTTTCTATATACTTTTTCAGAGTAGAAAGCCCTTCTTTCCTCATCTTAAAGTTGTCTTTCTGAAATAATAATAAAATACAATATATATTACATATATATATGGTAAATGGTCAATGAACACATTCCCACAACTATTACGAAATGATAAGTCTGTATTAGTATACTGCAGAAATAACCAGTCATATAGTAATACTCTCAGTGGTGACGAATTGCCAGGGCAAAACAACCCCACTGTGATACCCTAAAATAAAGTGGTGACCAAATTGTTATGTAATTTCAGTTGTCAGGAGGATTGCAAAAGGTATCAGAGTGTATTCATCCCCATTCAGACATTTACGAAGAAATCATCAAATTCCAATAACTCCTATAAATTTGTAAATGAAAATGGTTGTATGAATAGGTGAACTATACATGATGACAAACACTAAGCATAAAAGCTTTGAACACATGGTCTAAATGGCTGACATCAACGACGCCGACACCGGTAAAGCACTCTGTCATTTTGTTGATGAGAAACTGGGACATTAATCTGACATTAGTTTTACCTCTTATCATTTATGCAACACTGTATTAACCTTGAACTTTTGAAAAGTAAAATTTCTAACTATAATATGGCTATTAGATACGAGTACGCGTCAAATTACCATTACTAAATTCAGAACCGGAAATATTCCCGACGCTGATAAAGGACCGGGACCTGAAAAGATGTTGTCCATTGTCTTGATGATTTTTTGAAGGGATTCGTCGTCATGTTTGTATCTGAAAGATAAAAACGCAACTTATACGATCAATTAACTATACAAAATAAAATACAGGTATGTCACAGCTCTGTAATCTAAATTTGTACTTCTCTGCCATGCTTATTTTTTCGCCGAAAGTGAAGTCCAGGTCATTGATGAGAAACCGTATTTTCTTGACAATCTATTCTAATTTGATACATGTATAAAGCATATTGACTAATGTAAACAACAATCCATGCCATAAATTGAAAAAAAAAACACTTTTTGTCAAGAGAAGTGCATAACAGATATGCTCCATGTTGAAGACAGTACTTTGACCTATAATGGATTACTTTTATAAATTTTGACTTGGATGGAGAGTTGTCTCATTGGCACTCATACCACATCTTCTTATATCTATGAATATATTTGCCAAAGCTGCAGGAATTACTAGGCACACAAACAGAAGGTATTTTAATGGGTATGACTATACATCAAACTGTTCTGCTATAAATATTATGTCTTCTCCGTGATTTTATATTTTAAAGTTTGGTGATTATGTTGATCGACTCCATCGCATTAAACATGAAATAAGGATACATCATTTACAAGTAGATACATAGCAATTATAGATGCTTATTCTAAACTGTTCTCAATAAATATCAGGCATACGTAAAATAGATACTTTTCCAATACTGTTCTCAATTCATTGCATGTGATACATTACAAGATATGCTTATTCCACAGTTTTCAATACATTACATGTGAAATATGTATAACAAGAATGATACTTATCTCATACTGTTCTCAATACGTGACATGTGATACATAACAAGTCATGCTTATCCCACACTGTTTTCAAATACATTTTAGGAATACGTACAAGAGATGCTATTCCATACTGTTATCAACTCATGATATGTGATACATAACAAGAGATGTTCATCACATACTGTTCTTAATACTTGACATGTGAAATATATCAAGATTTGATTATCCCACACTATTCCAATACATGACATGCGATACATAACAAGTGAAACTTACCCCACATTGTCTTCAATACGTAACAGGCCATATATTACCATAAATGCTAATCACATATTGTTCTCAATACAAGACAGCTGGTAATACATACGAATATGAAAGATTCTTTACGAAGACTGCTCAATATATGAAATGTGATACATAAGAATAGATGCTAATCCCATACTGTTCACATGGAAAGTGGTTAGGGTTACTGCTCGCAATACATAACAGGTCATACATAACAATACAATACAATAATACAATATACTTTACTTAAAAACAGTCTGTCACATTCACATGTGAAACAACAGAAAAACATATACAAAATACAATCTCATACACTCATAAAAAGAAATAAAACAACTCTAGAACAAGAGGTGCATATTCCATTCTGTTCTCAATGCAAAACACGCGAAACATGATGAGCGATACGTATCCCACACTGATGGCTTAACGGGCAATGCATAAAAAGAGGTGCTTATACCACACACGTGGGTTTCATTTACCATATCTTTATTTGTCTGTGTATAGCAGACAAACAATTACCTCTATCTGTTCAGGGTTGACAAATAGAGCAGACAATCACTTGCATATATTTGAATATGAATATGTAACACCAATAAATGGAGCAGACAATGTTTTACCTATATTCGTTAAAAGGCTATGCAATACCCTGGTACATGTAACAGATAAGAGCTTACCTATATCCGAATATAAGACTATGTATAACATTGCAGCTAGCCTTTGTCATCATTTTCTTTAAATTGGTTATCTCCGCTCCATTAAATTTTTCCAGATCGTCTGCGACATTCTGTATTTCTTCCAAAATATTCTCTTCCTGCGAAGATTTTCCTACACCAAAATCTCGCATTGCTTGCAATGAGATTCGTCTCATATCCTTCCAGTCATCTCCATTAGCAAACGCAATCCCACTGCCTATATAAACCGAATAATCTCCATTAGAAAACACAATCCAACTCACATAAACCCAATCATTTCCATTAGTTAACACAATCCCAATTTTTAACTTAATTCCTGTCAACTCAAATAGCTAACACAATCCTACTTCTTACATAAACCTACTCAACTCTAGATCTTTTAGCTAACACAATCCCAATTCCTACATAAACCTAGTCAACTCCAATCGCTAAAAACAACCCATTTCCTAACCCAAGTACTATTATTTTATAAATAGTGACCTAAAAAAATCATATATAGAGCTGTCTGCATAGCGGGACTAATACCCCGGGCCCTTTACATGCATTTAAGTTGCTGCTATGAAATTCAGTATTCAGGCAATGACATTTTCAGATTTTTGGTTTTCATTTTAAATAATCCTTACCTATATGTTAGATTGACAAATGGTTACTGATAGGTCAATCTGAAAGAATAATACCGACCGAGGAATAAAGTCTGATTTGTATACTGTAAATTCAGAAATTATAGGTCAAGGTCAGTATGATGCTTCTGCATATAAAAATGTGTCAATCTAAGTCCTACAATACAAAAGTTATGCTACAAAAAACAAATATGACAATGCTTTGCTATCATAGGACTCAAAGGTAAAAAAGAAGGTCAAAATTACCTGACTTCGATATATGACACATCTCATACAATAATGTATCAGCATATCAAATTTATTCATCCTAAGTTCTATGGTACAAATGTCATGCACATGTCACAAATCATACAAAGTGTAACTATCATAGGGGTCAAAGGTCAGAAAGACTCGATTTTCATGTCTGACACACCCTAAGCCAATGATGCAACTGCATACCAAGTTTGGTTATCCTAAGTTTAAAAGTACAAAAGCTATGAGTCGAAAACGAATTGGATAAGGTTTTACTATCATTGTGGTCAAATGTCAAAGTCAAGGTCAGAATAACCTTACTTTAGTATGTGACACATTCCCAGTCAATGATGCAACTGCATTAAAAGTTTGGTTAACCTAGGTTTTACGGAACAAAAGGTATGAATCGGACACGAATTGGACAAGGTCTTACTATCAAAGTGGTCAAAGTCAAGTTCAGCGTGACCTGACTTTGGTATCTGACACAGTCCCAGCCCATGGTGCAACTGCATATGATGTTTGGTTAACCTTAGTGTTCGATTCAAATGTTATGCACCAGACACGAAGCGGGACTGGCAGACAAACAGATAGACAGACGGACATTGTGATTCCTTAGCTATATACCCCCAAACTTTGTTTGCGGGGAGGTAGTAAAGTCTGACGTCTACAACTTAGTTTTGAATATAAACAAAAGCCCTGTTACAACTTGATATGTATAGCACTGCAGTTTTTATTCCTCAAAAAGCCCTCTTCAAAATTAATATCTAATAGTCATGAATATTATTGCCCGCTCCTGAATATTATACTTGTATAATTACATTACATGCAATTAGTAATTTTATTGGGGTGAAAAAGTGTTGATCGTGCACACATTTTTAGAATGTGCTTCGGTGAACACTTGTATACCCCAATAAATAAAAATGTGTGCACGATACACACTTTAAAATCCCTATCAAATTACCAAAAGAAGCATTATTTACCTGTGCACTTTTTTGTGGAAGCGTGTGTCATCACGAATGTAACATTTCATTTTGATACAATTACATTACATGTATGGGGAGGGGGAACAACTCACATCCGATAAACAAAGGTACCTTTTTTGGGGGAGGGAATATTGCTCACATAGCCGTCGGAAATTTTACCCGAAGGTATTCAGTCTTATAAGGAGTTTTTATAACATGTATACAATAAAACTGAGAATGGAAATGGGGAATGTGTCAAAGAGAAAATAACCCGACAATAGAGCAGAAAACATCCGAAGACCACCAATGGGTCTTCAACACAGCGAGAAAATCCCGCAACCGGAGGCGGGCTTCATCTGGCCCCTGAATAAAAATGTGTATAGTTCAGTGAAAATGGACGTCATACTAAATTCCAAAACATATAAATGAACTAAAATAAAAACATACAAGACTAACAAAAATGCAGCGGTGTTAAACATGTTTAGTGAGATCCCAACCCTCCCCATATACCTCTATCCAATGTAGAAAAAACAAACACACAGCAATACGCACAGTAAAACTCAGTTTAAAAGAAGTCCGAGTCCGACGTCAGAATAGGTAACAAAAGAAACTAAGCAAAATGACAATGATACATAAATCAACAAAGGACTACTAGCAGTTACTGACATGCCAGCTCCAGACCTCAATTAAACTGATTGACAGATTATGTCTTCATCATATGAAAATCAAGCACAATACCTCCCGTATGTATGTAAAAGAAGTGTTGGTATTTCTTGGTGTGAGTAAATGGATGTGGGATATACAATAAGGCAACAAATGGCCAATTAACTACACACAAAACCAAAGGCATCTCGATAGCACGTGATAAATGCAGAATGGACAAGTACTTTTTTACTGCTAATTTGTAGTTTTAGTAAAGATTCGTTGTTCCCTTAAATTGGGAAGATAATAAGTATATTCAGTATAGCAAGTATTAAATTTATCAAATTATAACATCACATGCATGTTCACAACAAGTCAGATTTTAATTATAACAGTAGCCTACTTCAGTCTCCTAGTACATATTTGTGAAAGTCTTTAAACTCATGGTCTTGTATTTCAAGATTACACTCAAACCGTTATGAAATAAGGAGATGTTGTATGCTTTCCAATGAGACAACTTTACATCAAAGATCAAATGACGTAGATGTTAGCTTGCTTATATTGCTACATTTGAGATCTCCTAATTACCATTACACTATGAACTACTTATTCAAAAAGATATTTTGTCACCAAATGCCTTATAAAATATAACATCATCATATACACTAATTTATATTTTGCTCCCTCGACAAAATGGCGGGAGCATATTGTTTTACCCGTGTCCTTTCGATCGTCCGTCCTGCACTTAGTATATAGGGTTTATACGGCTAATATCTTAGGACTACATGTTTTACATCTAAACTTTTTAATTATGTGCATGCTGTTAGTACATATACTAAATGTGTACATATTGTTATTTTTTTTTTTTAATGACAGGTTGCTGAATTTGGCATTTTGATAATATATAAATGCACGCAGAGTACAGAGACCGGCTTAATCCTCGTACATGTACATGTACTTTTTTCAAGCTTGATTTTTTACATTGTGTCGAGTGTTTTCCTTATATAGAGAGTGCATATATATTATCAGGATTATTTTTGCATAATTTTCAACAAATGACAGAATGTTGAACTTTGTCTTTTTAATTGAAATTTTGCCTAATTTGCAAGGTTTGTCCGACAAACTACACACACAACTCACACGTTTACACCATACAGAGTATACTATATTGAGAATGGGTTTTTTTATCAGGATATTGATTTGCTTTGTAATTTTCACACCTAACAGAATGTTTAAACTTTTTTGACGGGTGCAACAAATGTGTTCTTTAGACACCACTATTTCAAATTGTATTGTATTGTCCTGAACATGCATGAAATATTTGCCACTTGACGTTAGGCAACCATCAATCCTTCAATTCATATTGTATTTCAACATCACTGTTGACTTAATCAAATTTTTGAAGCACTTTATAAATGCATGGACGCAGTGGTGGCATCAGCTTTGTTTGGTTTGGTAGGGTTCAGTTGCAGATTCAGTTTTGAAAAGCTAAATGTCCACCTTATTAGGACGAAATAAAATTAAATCAGTAGAATTTTATATTGAAAACATGGAAAATTTACGAAAACTGACAGGTGAAATGAAAATAAAATAACAAACACCATTCAGATCCTGTTACATATTTTTTCAATACCTCTGAGCATGCTGAGTAAAAAACACGTTATTCTGTATTCAGTAACGTCACACGTTTTCTGTCAAATTCTAAGCGTATTGGTCAACTTTGAAGCAATTTATCTAAAACACAAGGATGGTGACTTATGTGTTTCTATACATGCATGAATTCAGTATACAATCCTGGATATTATGTTAGTTTTTAGTCTTTTTCCGTATATAAGAACATAGCCATCCAATCAAAAATCTAAAAAAATAAGTACAAAACACGGCATTTTCACTATATATCTATGTAAATTTGTCGCCAAAATTGGCGTTTCTCATGAAAATTACAACAAAAAATAAGCGGTGACCCGCATTTTTTATTTCATATTCCGATGTAACTCGAATCAAAGTACAAACGGCCAAAAATTTTAGAAATCGGGAGATATACCATTTGGTATCAAGTTACCTTAAATGATGCTCTAGGCCGAAATATTTCAAAATCCTAAACGTATTCAAAAATTGAAGGGTTAAAGCCGGTCAATGAATCAGAGCTTTGCATGACGGAGATATATTCCTTAATTCTGAATCATTTCCAAAATTTTGTAACAACAAATTTTAATAACTTAATATCCGCATTTTCATGACAGTACCGAAGTAGAGATCGTTTCCTTTCTGTATTGGAAATCCTTAAAACATACAATTTGATTTAATTCATACGTTATTATAATCTATGATTTACCTCCTTTTACTTGTTCAGCTAATTTGATTCCTGGAATAAAGTTGGGTCTGTCTATAAATTCCCGTCCTCGTTTCTGTAGAACATCAAGCACATGTTTATGACCCTGTACAAAAACGATCTGGTATGGTCCTAAAAACATTCGAAACATTGGTCCATACTGCCTCGTCATATCCTCAACAAACTTGGCCCTCTTTGGTGTACTATTAAACTGACTTACAAGTAGAATATTTCCAAAAATAGGCCATGCTCGTGGTCCTGGAATATCTGATTTCGGACTTGTCATCAATACTACTGTCGCAAAAAATATTATTAGAAATATGAATGTAGCTGTTAGATCGATTCCTTCTAAATAGGAATATGCATATGCGATATCCATTGCAAAACAGAGAAAGATAATAAACTTGCGGTGAATACTTATGTTATCTTT